CTTATCGACGGTGACGAGAAGCACATTTGGAACATAGCATGGAAAAGACCCGTATAGAGATACCCAATCCCATATGCCAATCTATACAGCGGTACAGCGAAAAACAACAACGACCTGATGCGTAAAAAGCGCTCGCCCAGATGATCGATATACACTTTCCAATACCTTTTCCAGTGTCTTTTGATCTCCGGTCTCCTCCGGAGCGCCAAACAAACCTCGCTTATAGACAATGGGTTGAGGACGACATAATATATCTACCGTAAAAAAATTTCCGGAAAATTTTCATTTTTTCCGACCGTAAAAAATTGAAAATCTCACTGCCAAAAGAAACTTAGTTTACACGAAAGAATTTCCGCCTTTGAAATTTCGAATGACACCATTATTACCAGAAACAATATAGGTATGTCGATTGGTGCACGTAGAAACAGCGTTCCAAGATAAAAGGGTCTGAAAAAAATACACAAAAATCAGAAAAAAACCAAAAAAAATCATCAACCTACCGAGCAACAACGAAAAAGGCAGGAATAAGATGGTACAAAGCGATGCTGAACTTGGCAATCCATCTGAAAAAAATTCCGAAAAGAGTGGTATGCACGCATGAACAAAAGATACTCTATATTACTCACCTCGGTGCAGTAGCCACAAAAGGGTTGAAGAACTCCAACGCCAATGTACAGAGCAATCGCCAATCTTTACAGTGCGCACCAAATTGATCATGATTAGTAACCCGAACCTAATCCGACATACCATACAATCAAGCAAAAGAAAATATATTTTCCACTCCCCGAATTTTTTCTCATAAATTTTCACAAAATTTTCCCTTAAGACCTGTGGTGCTGCAGTACTGGAAGCCGCGCCTTTTAATCTCATCTGTGTTATGAACATCCTCTGAGTCAGCTCACTGCCAGACGCACAACATGTCTGAAAAAAATGCAAAAAAATTTAAATCCATAACTTAGCGAAAAAATTTTCACTCTTTTTTCCAACAGAAAATCATAAAAAAATTTTCCGGAAATTTTTTCTCAGCTTTCCTTACCGCATCAGTTCCACTTAACCTCTCCAACGTCTCCAAAAGCGCCTTCCGTTCCCACAGACACACCGACTTCGAGGGGACCACTACAGCGCTCCGACCAAATTTCTGTTGACTCATCGTTACACTGAATAAAATACGAAATC